CGAAACTGACTTAGTAGGAAACTGTGGTGTTCGTGCATCTGTTAACTGTATTTTCTACAATTTAACATCAACATCTGAATGAAATCGTTACAACGAATACACAATGGCTAACATTCTTAGTTTAGAGTATCAACTGACCAACAGGTTACACAATGGGCCAAGACAAAGTTTTCCAATCACAGTTTGAAAGATTTTGACTAAAGTAACCAACGGGTAGGTCCCTTCACGGTCAATGTGGGATAAAAAACAGTGTCTACAATTCTTTTCAGTGTGTTTTTTTCATGCATGGGAAAGAAGTTTAACGTGGCATGCGAATATCTGAAAAAACTTCAGTTCTAACATTTAAAGTTAGGTAAATAATGACAACTTTACTTGTTTGGCTACAGTGTGGGTTGACATACTGAAGGTGTCCATCCACAGCTCTGGAAGCAAGACTCATGTCACCGCTGTCATTAAAGGTTGAACTCTGACTGCTTGGGCGACCAGTTAGCAACAAAGCTTCAAGTGTCGTTGCATGGAAAAAGTGCAAATAATAGTTACACATTCAAGAAGGAACGAGAGTGCTCCGAGAACAATTTTCGTGGTTGTCTGTGGTATCCCTGTACCGGAATACGTACTGGAATATTAAGTACTTAGCCTACCGATGGTAATATAAGGTTTCCTCGAACCTAACTAACAATGTACCGAACTGGTTATGTGTCCTTTTTCACCAAAACAGATGTTGTTAGCCAATATTTTCTGGTTGAGATGCCTATGGAGGGCATTACCAGGTTGGACACCCCAGAGCCCTATATGCATATCCCCATCAAGTGATCGCAGACCAAATGTCGACGATCACCTTTATGCAAAGTTCATAATACCCGTACTGGGAGGTAACGTCAACCTATTAAACAATGCTGCCCCGTGTTCGCTTCTGAACATCAAAGACAGAAAGACACTGATTAGAAGAGGCATGTAGAAACAGAACGCTTTTCTGAAGGTCCTCATGTGATCATTTATTAATTGCAGAAATCTACCATCACCTGTTTGCAACACATACAGCTACTATCTATGTCCATGCCTTTTCTTGTTTCCTGCTTCGTTGTGACCGTGTTGACCTCTTCCACCATGACCTCTGTCAACTGGACTATAGTCTGACGGTCGTTTCCATGGATATCCACGCTAACGTATTGCGCAATGACGTACGGCTCCGGAGTGAAATCTATCACCGCTCTGCTAAGAGTTTGACTGGCTGCAACTCGTCCTATCTCCGGGTTGAGCAGGTGGTTGGAGTTCAGACCAGCACGAAGTACATTGCCTTCTAATCGATGGACTTCAAAAATACACCGACAATTGATCATAAATAATACGCAATACTAAAAGCAGACAATTTAGGAGTTAAGACGGCGGCCGTATGATTCAGTCCAAAAAAGCAAGTTATTTCAGCTACAAAAGGATTCTCAGGGATGATGCCTGGTTTACCCAGTTTCCATAGCCATTGCTGGTTATTTACGCTCTCTTGGGTGATTTCTAACGTTATTTTTTAATTTCAAGTTTATTGTATAAATAAAGAACTGGAGCATGTTTTACATCACCGTTAAGAACAAAGCATTATAAGATCAGTTGTTTTTCATTTGGTCTGAGTCAAGGACGCCAAAAGGAAACGATATTTGCACAAGATGCGTAGCTGAGTGACACATGATATATGTAGCTGTCGGCAAGATCCGAGCACCAATCTGTATCGTTTAAATTGGTCGTTACACAAGGACGTTTGGAATTAATCGTTTGGAATTAAACGTGCTACTTCGGAACTTTATGGTGTGCAACTGTGGAAGATAATGTTTGTCGGACTAAACCTTACGTATACCACAGAGGAAGGACACAGGAGTAACGACTCTGGCACATCTAATTGCTTAAAGATCATCGTTGCCCGATCAGATTAGCCGGACAAGTGGGGCCAGTAATATCTTATCAATATCTGTGGTGCTTTCTTTGCAATTAGCTACAACTTATCGCCGTGAATAGGATAAAAATCTTAAATTAAGATTTAGGGCCACATTTGCTGTCGTGAATTTTTCTTTTTTTATAAAGGTTTTGATTCAGTTTTCCATTATGCATGCAACGTGTTCAATTTTGTTTTATCACTCCAAAGCATCAATTTTCAAATCTTTGAACGATTTTGGCTGAGACTGGCCGACAACATGTTGATCACCACAGGACTGTTAAGTTCACTGAAAACCAAATGCTCTGTTTCATCACAAGGAAAGATAACGTGATCTCACATAATACCTACGTGCCCTACACTTTGTCTCTTAAAAACAGGGGGTGGGGAAGACATTGTTAACTGGGTCAGTCTTGTTCCATCAATGAAAGGATTCTGCTGACACGTTCGTCTCTAAAACAAATTAAATAGGACAGTTTCTTCAAAGGGACTAGAGCTGTTTACTCTATACTGTCCGTATCAGCATTTATGCA